AACATTTTTATTGTTATTTATTATTTTCTGTATTTATTTGTAATAACATTATTTCTGTTCTTTCAGTTATTTATTTGTCATTTTTTCCACCACGTATTTATTTCCATATTTAATTATTACCGCATTTATTTTAACAATTGTTTATTTTTGTATTTATTCTAATATTCTTACTCGTATTTTTCTCTCCCATGTATTTGTATTATCTTGAACTATTTTAGATTATTGTTTTTAATTATATTTATTTCCACATGTGTTTATCTCCATAAATATTGCCACATGTATTTATTTCAACAATTGTTTATTTATTTATCTTTTCTTTATTATTATAATACCATTGGTCAGTGCTGCTTATTTATATTTGTCTCTCCCCTTTATTTTCTGTATTCGTTTTTTGCTATTTTGTATGCTTTTCACCTTGTTTTTGATTCTTTCATTTTTTTTAAATAAAAATGTTAAATTGTTAGATTTTTTTTAATCACATTTCCTGTCACTTCAGTTTTAATTTATTCCGTTTTTGTGTTTTATTGTTGTCACTCATAAGTGATATTTGTTTCAGAAGAAGCCGTATATTATGTAACATCTGTTTTAATGTGTCTTTCAGGTCAGCACCACAGAAGTTATAAAATTTCAAATGGTGAGTTGTAATATTTTGTTCACACAGCTTTGTTTATTTCATTTTATATATTAAAGCAGATCACTGAATATTGAATTGTTTACAATATTCTGTATTTATTGTCCCTTATATTTTTATCATGTCATAATATGTGACCTTGGAGTCTTAAGTCGCTGGGGTATATTTGTAGCAATAGCCAACAATACATTGTATGGGTCAAAATTATACATTTTTCTTTTATGCCAAAAACCATTAAGACATTAAGTAAAGATCATGTTCCATGAAGATATTTTGTAAATGTCCTACCGTAAATATATCAAAACTTAATTTTTGATTAGTAATATGCATTGCTAAGAACTTCATCTGAACAACTTTAAAGATGATTTTCTCAATATTTAGATTTTTTTGCACCCTCAGATTCCAGATTTTCAAATAGTTGTATCTCAGCCAAATATTGTCCGATCCTAACAAACCATACATCAATGGAAAGATTATATATTCAGCTTTCAGATGATGCATAAATCTCAATTTCACAAAATTGACACTTAAGACTGGTTTTGTGGTCCAGGATCACA